GAAGACTAGTAGGTACAGAGATGGTATTATTCTACACTCCCACTGCCACTGAACAACAAAAAGAATGCTGGCAGATAGCATGAGCTTTGGCCCTAGATCAAGAGACCTGGCATTTAAAAAAGCTAACGGACTGAATCTGATCTTTATTTTCACAGTGTTAGCAGGTGTTTGTGCACTAATCTAGGCCTATTAGAGATGTAAGAGGTGGCTAGATCCCCTTGCTGACTTTTTGCAGAGGAAGAATAATCTCAGTATAATAACTCTCTCTCACTAACAACAATTTATCTTGCTGTATGTACCATGGTGGCATTGAAACTGAGTATTATTTTATTAAAGCAAATAAAGCCAGCTTAATCTTAGGCTTCATCTTCCATCCAACACCTCCAAATGATTTTATAAAAGAAAACAGATTGAATGTCCAGGTGTATAAAGTGAAGCAAAGCCTGTTCTAACAACAACATGTGAACTGGAATCAAACCCACTTGACTCAGTGTATTTCGAGTGGTAAAGCAGGTTATGGAGGACTATGCTTGCATTAAGCACACAGCTCTGTATCACAAGGTTGCTGCACCAGGCAGTGCCTTACTCAGTCTGTGCTAGCCGCCCTCTAATTGTACAAAACATCTCCGGAACTCCCCCTGCCTCCATATGTGAAATATAGTAATAGTTCCTAATACTGTCATTAGGGGAAATAAACTGACAACAGAGAAAAAGCTCCTGTCTGCCCCTCTTAAATCCATGTTCACTGTCTCTCAGAACAGGTCCTGCAGAAACAGAAAAACTGAATTCAGAGAAAAGTAACATACCAAAACAACACTTTGGAATAATTCCCATACAGGCAACTGCTAGGCCAGCAGTCCTCACCCAGGACTTAGGAGGGATGTGACAATGGTCTGTGTGTATCACTGACAGCATCTAGAAATTTCTTTGTTTGTTGTGTCTTCAAATAGAGTAATAATCTTGCATCCTATTAAACCATCAGAAAGAAGGTTTCAAACAAGCAAAGGAGCCAAGTTTTCTGTCCAGTGTACAGCTATACCAATGGAACTCCTTACCAAAAGATGTTGCAGAGGCTAGAGTATCATGAAGTTTCAAAGGCAGACTGGGTAAATTCATTAAGTGAAATATGTTGAAGATTACTGAATATAAAGAAAATATATGTTTTTCAGAAAGGTCCTGGAAGTTCAAGTGGTTGAAGCACTGCTGAAAGGAATATCGCAGTTTGCCCTGATCTGCTACTTCTCCCTAATCACGTTTCTGACCACTGCCAGATGGGACACTGGGCTAGACAGAACCTTTGGGCTGACCTGTACAAACACTCTTTGTGTTATCATATTCATTGCTCACTAGCAAAAATAGCCCTAAATTTTGTTATGCATTCAGCCTTGTCGCTCACTGCAGCGACACACTTTATTAAAAGTGTTACTACAGGTCTGCACGTGTCTCTTTATAATCTCAAAAATTGCTAGGAAAACAAAATCAACACATGATTAACTAGTACCATTTGAACCCCCCCTGCTCTTATTTTAGTGAATTTTCATTTACGTCTAGGCACTGGAACGAGGAGTGATCTTTGAAAACATGCAGAATACACCAGAGATTTACTATGTAGGCATTATAGAATTTACCACCTAATCTCCCCGAGTATACTTTCAGAACAGCACTGCACATACTTGTGTCCCAAGGAATACAATTTCTCCATGTTTATGAAAAAAAAACCAAAACACTTAATCTTTCTAAATGTCTTGTTTTAACCCCAGCTGTCAACAAAAGACCACACAACCACTCACTCATTCCCCCACCAGTGGGATGGGGAAGAGAGTCAGAAGAGATTAAGAGCCGTAAATATAGAATTAATAACAAATAATGCTGCACATTCAAATCTTCACCCTTATCTTTTACAGGTAAGCATTTGCAGGCATTGCAAGTCAGTATCCCTGGCATGGCTTTTGGGGCAAAGAAACTCTGTAGAAAGGAAGTTCCCTTCTGTAGAAAGAAGACCTCCCCGCTCTGTCAGTGGAAACTGATATATCTGTTCTAAGAAGAACTTAAGAAGAGTTCAATTCATTTGACAGAACCAATTAAAAATGCATACTTATTAAATACGCTGTTCTTAGGGATAATCAGTCATTGTAGTGAAACAGAGATTAATGGAGAAATAGTATACAAATATGTGAATGTGTTATGTCTTTTATACAGTGTCTATTTTTATGAAAATTCTATGAAGAAAATTTGGCCCAAAATGTCCACAAGTCACTGATTTTTTGAGAATATTTACCTTTGTCAGGATTTTCTGTTTACTAATTATGTACACAAAGTCTCAGCCAACATATTTACAGTCTCCGTGATTTTGTAATATAACTGTTAACCGAATAAATTCACCCAAGCACTAAATTTGTAAGTTTGCTCTTAGAACACATGGATTTTGAGTGACGGTTATTTTGCTATCGCTCTCTGGAAAACTTTGCCTTGGATATGGCACATAGGTTAGTGAAAGGAAGTGTGCTGTCCTGGTTAAATCAACTCCATACCTACATAAAGGCAATCACAGTGCAATATAGAAAAAAGCAAACTTACTTTCTGTCAACTGGAATATATTAAGGGAACCATAAACATCACAGAACACAACTTGCAGCTCTAAAACCTATAAATACGTCATTGCAATCACACATGTTGGGAAGTCAAACAGAAATACAAACATCACCAAGACTCTGCGTGCATAAAGCATTTAACAAAAGGAAACAAAAGGATTGGAAAACCACAGAAGGAACTGTCTGTGTCACAGCGATTAAATCTATCAGGGGCCTCCTATGGATATTGTGATGAAAAACAAGCAGCTACAAGAATTTACAGCTCTGTTCAGTGACTAATCCTTTAAACCTTCAGAAGACGTAAGTTTAGGTGAACACCACCTCCAGCTCATTTCAAACCCAAGCTCAAAAGGAAACCTTTAGTCTCTGCAAAAAAATATACTGTAATTTATCAGTCTTTTTATTCTAAACTTGTTTAGCAGACTGCCCAAGAACAACATTCATTCCATTTCACTGACAAAGGAAAATAGTCTACTGAAAGTAGAGGAATGAAAGTGAATTTCTAGCTGCTGAACAAGCATAAAAGCACTCACATACAGATACACACACACAGATCTGCTAATTACTTTTTTTCATTTTTCCCTGACATGAGCTTAACTCTTTCATCTAAAATTTTCTGTTGAAGGAAAAAAACAATGTTGGAGTTTTTTAAGTACTTCTGTCCAATGCCTTTGGAAGCGCACCACAACAAAGGTAAAGTATTCTTCCCTCCCACCTTATAGGAGCAGAAGAGGAGCTTTAGAGAATTTCACCAGAGGTAGTGAAATCTTGACATAACAGATTCAATTGAAATTAGCAGTACATTCATCTTTCTGTCATAATTTCACTTGGGACACTCACAGTCTGTCTCTTGCATGCTTCCCAGTGCATGCACAAAGTTCCAGAAGGATGGGAAGGCAAGGCAACAATAGTGCAGAACAATCTTCATTCGCCGCAGGAAAGAAGCTGCCTTTGTAAAGCAGCATTTCCACACCCGCTCCCTGGAGAAAAGTAGAATTCTTTCTACCTGATGTAAGACAGCTACTGTTAATGCCACAATCATAATGTACGAAAGGTCTGGCTAGTGGATGTCATATATCAAGCTAGTAAATTACAACCACTGAGAACACTGGCAAAAGAGGAACCTTAATCATGCGAGTAAAGCATTACAATGAAATTTTAAGCTGGCATTACATATGCATTCCTAGTACTGAAGATACACGGAGCCTTTACTAACATCGTAGAACTCATTAAACTTTTGGCTGGCAACATCCTCCAAATCTTACTAAGGTATTTAAAGCATGAATAGGCAACAAAGTTCTTTCCTTCCTGAAATCTTCTATGTTAAGATTACATTGGGCAAGGATTTTTCTTTTCAATTAATTCGAAAAGGTCTAAAAGTGATAGTTCTCACTGACAATACCAAACAATTTCCACTTGTCTATACCAAGCTCATTACTGTGAGTGAAGTTCTAATAGTGAGTTCCAATTCACCGTTGCACATTTTAATATAACATGCTTTTCATTGTTTATTCTCATTGGACTTCATATATAATCACTGAGATTTCCATAATGATCATCAAATGTTTTTCCTTTATTAAGACCCCTCTTCCCAAGAAATCACAATTACATCACTGGTAAACAGTTAGCTCTCTGAAAGCCCTCCCAAACTTCTGTCTATGCAGCCTGTGTTTTTATGTAACGTGCACATACACCTCTAAATATCCAGGCTTTTTTTCTTGTTTGTGAAAGCTGAACACTACTACCTAGTATCTGTAAGCTTGCATAAAGATGAGCCCTCTACCACACAATCGGACACTTATTTTTGCACTTGTTAGTTGACTGGTTCCTAAGAAGTCTATTTCATGACAACACTTTAGATACCACACTCATGACTATGAGTTTCCTTAGTATCTTAATGTAAAGCATGAATTTTTATACATGTCAAATAACTTATAACCACCAGATCTCTGTTAGCTATCATTTTGTTGACAAGAAATTATGGCATATTAGAAGCAAGGCAAGATGCCATTCCATGTTAATAATCTTTACGAGGTCTTGCATATACGTGTTATCTTACGTACTTTCAAAAATGTCTGTTTATATTAGATTAAAAAAAAAAAAAGCAACGTGTCCATGCTCCAAGTACTATTATTTAGACTCAGAAACACTGTAACAAGTATAAAATAAAGAATATTTGTATTCCATTTACAAACGTGCTGTATCGGTTTATTTCTCAGGATATCAGTTCCTACTAACAGCAACGATAGCAGTAAGAATCATATACATGTGGTGAGCCCTCTATTCAGAAAGACAATAGACAGTGAATTCCAGTTGTGTAAAGCCATGTTATTGGAAATGTTTATTGTATGCAGCATCAGAAAGATGACTGATGTCAATTTAAATAAATGCAATGCCCAGAGACTAGTATTAGCAACTGGGTTTTGTGTGTGAGCCATGTATCTCATCCAGTACATTCCTGATGCTTTCAACACAAACCTCTTCTTTCTGATGTTTCATACAGGCTTGCTTCCATATCTCTTCAAACCTTTCATCAGAAATGCTCATGCCAATGTTGTGAAGAATTTGTGCAACCTACAAAATAATAGTATTCATATAATTCTTGTCAGCATGTTCTTTAAACTATATAGAGTCTGGGTTTTATATATATTCACAATCTCTATTTGCCAAAGAATATTTTCCCATTCTTAAGCAAAAACTACAGACCACACCCTTAACTAAAAAAGTTCCTATTTAGCTAAATCTAAATATTACTAGGATGAAAGCTGTGGTGTACAAAATTGTCTTCAGGTAACAAAGTAATGTTGATGCAACTTCAACACTGGATAAATCAAACACAGAAGATTCAGGGAAAAGTAAACATTTTATAAAAGCCCTAAGTCCTGTGTATCCATTGTATTTTTGCTATTTGCAGTTATCAACATAAATCAATTTCACAGCAAGAATACTATATGCAAGATACTCGATTGGCATAGATAAATGGGTGAAGTGACTAGAAGGAAATGGTTCACATTAACTTTGGGTCTTGCTATAGTTTTACACCAAAGTAATTCTGCAACAATTTTTTTTTTCCATATTTTCTCACTTGGATGCTTCCTGCTGCATGCTTCATTACACGGACCTATTGACTCATCAGAGGAAGGTGGGTTTAGAAGAATATTGACGTCTTGTGCTTTTGTTAGCATTAACAAACATTTAGCTTCTTCAACTGCGTCCTGTGTGTGTGCATGTGTGTTGTGTTTATGCTCTGGAGATTTTACACATGCTTTGATAAAGAAAGACCTTTAATACAGTCAAATCAACCTTGTTTGTCATCTTTCTCTAAAACTGCCTTTTGTATAAAAATAGGCCAGATCCACAGTACAGCAAACCTGTAGCTTCATCTTAGCCAAAAAATCTATGACAGTGCATGTCAGCTGAAATTACAGGAGGAAAACATGGACTAAATTTTGTTTCTTTAAGCACAGGTGCTGTTTCAGTTAAATCAATATTACTAATGAGGAATACAAACCAGATATGACCTAATGCCTTCAACAAGCTAGTGAAATTTAAATTTAAACTAAAAGCAATATTCTATTACAAGATACCACTGCAGGGACCATAAAGGACCACATGCTCTCATAACTTGGCTTCACCATATTAAAATAAAACTCTGTCCTTGCTCATCAACAGCCATAAAATAATCACTGACTAAACCACAAACTATCAAGTGTGCAGATGGGGTTAAACTGGCCCTGACCTATTATCAATATGATCAAGTTGAATATAAATTACACACAATCTGTTACGTAACTTCTCTTCAATAGACTAGGACAAATTCCAGTGAAGAAAATAGCAGGCTCTAGAACTACTTTGTTCTTTTGGAACATGAAGAGTCATGAAACTGTTTTAGTCAGAATTCACAGTCACTTCTACAGACCTATACAAAACCTGGTACTATTAAATTACTCTGAGCTTTCATACAATAATTTCATTAGCTATTACATGTTTGAAAATATTAATGCTGCATATAAAAAGAAAAAAAAAATCAAAGACCATCACTAAAATACTGAAACAGTCAATTTCATGAGTATAGGGCAATTTAACACAGAGGTGGTTTTGCACTGAATTCTGTATGGCCTGTATAGTCTAGAATGGATTATGACATCTCAGGCCGAGTGTCTAGTGCTTGACAGGTATAATGGGCTTCTCAATGAAGCATGAACTCTATTTACTGTTCGCCATATTCTGCACGTATGGATTTCCTGCCTCAGAGCTGGATTATGGTAAATGCTCGTGTACACAACATTCTGACAAGTCGTTTTATGGGTATGTATAGACCATGACACCACATCTTTTACATCCTCAGCCACTCATCAGCAACACTCTTTTCTGTAAAATATATACTCAAGTTCCAGATCCACTTTCAAATGTAAATTAATATTTAATGTAATGACAAGGAGAAAGGGAGAGGTTGTCAAGGCTTCTTTTTCATTTTACATCAGAATTTCACATTTTGTTACAATCGTCTCGTAAACTGTATTTCAGGTAATGAGGTTATCTGAATATTTTATCACTAGAAAATGCAACCAAATGTAGAAGCAAAAGAGTAAACAACACTGAAAAAGAAGCAAAGTTGCTTTAGTATTTATGTGGGAGGAAGTCTGGGCTGTGAGATAACAGAGGGGTTGCAGCCCCCCGAGATATCAGATGATAGAAAAATCAGAGTAAAAAAAAAAAAAAATCAGAGGTAAGTCCCTACAGCCTCACACCCTATTTTTCTCTTCAGAAATACGAGATAACACAGCATTGGTGTGTGATTCCCTGTATCACTGATATCACTGTGCAAGTTCTTTGGAAATCTGAGCCTACGACCATGACTCAGCAGAGCACTTAAAAGGAATATTCAAGCAGTTTGCTGAATTTGCCATTAGCAAAACCTGCAAGTTTGTTTGAGAGGAGACACCTTGGGTAAAATTCTCCACTGAACATCCCTCTGTGATAGACACTAGTTATATATACCTGTAAAAATTTTCTGGTGTGGCTTTTTAAGACATCTACTCATAGAATCCTAGAATAACTTAGGTTGGAAGAGATCTCTGGAGGTCATCCATCCAATTACATAATCAAAGCAGGGCTAACTTTACCGTTAAATGATGTTGCCTGGGACCTTGCTCAGAAATTTGAGTATATGCAAGGATGGAAATTTTGCAACAGCTTTGTTCTCCTCACATTGCAGAAATGATGAGTCACAGACTCTTAAGCCATAGATTAATTACCAACTCTCTTTTGACAGCATTTAAGCATGTGCTTAAATGTGCATGTGCATAGCAACATGTGCATAGCAACAACCTGACGGTTTTTTATATTACTTATTGAAGCCAGATCTCAATAAAATTAATATCTAACACCTTTAAGAATTTTTTTGAATGTGAAGGGTACATATTTGTCAGATAGTTGGATGGATGTAAAGAAAGATGGTGACGTTGCAACAATGAATTTTGAAACCTTTTTATTTGATATGACTTTCCACTCCCATATAGCTAAAGGTACGTTTATCTTGGAAGGATATTCTCAAGAAATTCACTATACCTCTGCCTTTGGTCTTGTTTTAAAAAAGTCTCTTTCGTACACTCCCTTTTGACTGAAGACAGAAGGGAACAACAATGCATAAGCATTAGCCTCATCACCATAATTAGTTCTGTCACTGATGTGGCGAATTTGGGAGCAGGAATATCTGAACGAATAGTTGGGAGACCACACACTGGATAACCTGTGGAAATCAGTCAACAGGTAGCATTGGACAAACCTGTATGTAAAGAAAGTGCTAGGGAGGATAAAACATCATCTGAGAAATAATAAAAAATTTGATACTTTGTCTCACATAGGTTCAAAAAGAATATTTATTATTTTATTCCTCATCTCTTTTTTAATATTTTTTAGAATTTCTAGCTTCAGCTACATCATGAAGCATGACAACAGGAAATCTTGCAGTAATACTCTAGTACTTATCCAGTACTTCCAGGTAAAAACATTTCTAGGGGATTCCAAGAAGATTTTGTTCTCCTAAAACTAGTAGCATAATCAAGATGTCTTTGAGAAATTAACTTTGAAGTTTTGAATGGATTAACCATGCCAAACAAAGCCATGCCAACTTCCAAGCCACAATCCTAAACAAATTTAGTTTAGATAAATTAATTCACTATTGTACACTAGTAGAATCTGTAGCAATACTTTTAAAACTTCTTCCTGTTTTTGTCTTAAGTAATGCTGAAAAGTAGAGGCCACCTTACTTACAGGTTGTTGGGAGACCACCTACTACAGCATTATACTGAGAAGAAGTTGTCTGATAATTTGCAAATACATGATCTGTTGATCTTGTAAGCATTTTTGGTGTCTTTTCTGATCTTCCTGCTTCCTTTAACACAAGATCTTCCCACTTCAGCAGTGTCTCATTATCTGTCTTTGTGTCTTCCGGCAGACCGGGAGCATCCAGTTTTTTTCCTATAAACAAAAGTTATGGTACAGCAAGGATATATTATCAGCACATTATAGACTAAGAGGTAAAAACATGGCTTGAATCCTTGAAAAACTATAAAGTAGATAATATAAGACAATTAATCTGCATATCTGATAACGATTCTACAAGATTTTTAAATTTCTCCTGATTTATGGAACAATCTCAACATGCAACACAGAACTCTGGGGTTCTGAAATATATCTGTATCTGAGGCTTTGCTGGTGGCATGCAAGGACTAAATGCACACTCTAAACCCTGCCCTTCCAAAGGAGAACCTAACCTATACCAGCAATGTCCTTTCAATAGCTGTTTTAAGAACATGTCCACAATTTCCCAGTATTAAGTATTACCTTTTGTAATTATTTTTTCTTCAAACTCTTTAACAGCCATTCTGTCTTTCCAGTTCAGAAAGTTTGCAAACTCCAGATAATTAATCCGACCATTTTTATCCAAATCACAATAGTCAAACAAGGAATCCAGGAGCTCATAATCTAGATTCAGATTAAGCTGAAAACAGGACTTTCGCAGGTCATCCTTGTCTATCATTCCATCGCCATTCTATTATAAATAAAACAAAACAGTTGTTACAACAGCTATTATAAAAAGGCTCCACCAAAAGAAACACACACGTGTTTACAAATACCGATAGTGAGAGATGTGTATAGTGCCAGACACACCATTTCAGAAGAGTAGCATCACTGAGTACAACCCCAAATAATTTAGAAATTAAAAATATGAATATGAAAGTGTCAGTAAATAATTTTCAACAAGTAATACAGTCATTTAAGATCAAAAGAAAGTCAGTGTGACAGGGTATTGTGACAAGAGAACAATCTAATCTTAAATGTTGAGGTAAAGCCAAGATTTCTTTTGGAAGTAAGGCATCAATCATTCATGTTATTCAATACATAACATTATAATTAATGTTATATAAGAAATGTCAATTATAAATTTTTTTTCCAGTGAGAAAAAAAGAAAATATATGAAACTCTGATGCTTGGTGACTCAGTCAAAAAGTACAGCTTGGAAGAAAATATGACCATAATCCTTTCAACCATATTTCTTTTAAGAAGAAATACCAAATTTTGAAAAGCAAAAAATGCTAAGATTATTCCTGCTCACAAGTCCCTTGCTTGCTGTCAAGTTGGATACTCCTGACACTGTTGTGAAAGGCTCCAAATCCTGTGATGTCTAATTCCATAGCATACCACAGTATATGAAACATACAACTACTATGAAGTTACCTTCTCTTTATAATCTTCATCTCTATTTGCCTTCCTATGCTTGTGTTTCTTCATATCTGTATATCCATAGCACAGGAGAACTAATGTCACACACCCCTTTACATTTATATTTTTTCAATGCACTAACCTTATCGTAATGCCTGAACGCTTCTAGTAACAGGTCAAAATTTGCATAGTTTGCTTTCTTCAAACTTTGCCGAACTGCAATCAAGACAGCTCTCTCACTGTCTCTACCACGGAGGAACTCACGTGGAACCCAGCAGTGAAGAAGATCACCAACACCTATAAAAATAAACACTTCCTCAATTAGTTATGCATATACAGAAAATGGACAATTTTTTTAAATGGCTTGCAGTCTTAAGGAAAAGGAGAATTTCCGTTTCGAGATGCTGATTTTCAGCACTGCTGAACATCTGATACAGCCATTTCAGTAAAAGACCCATAAAGCTTCCAAAAGCTTCTGACAGCAGTAGGAGTAACTTGATGTCCAGACAGTTGAGAGTAAAAGAACATATATTATTAATCTATCACTTCCAATCTGTCACATTGCAGGATAATTACAAAAACCAATGGAAAAGTCAATGTAATATCTCAGATAATCACATACCTTTGATTTCTAGAAAGACAATGTACTATTTTTGTGTTATTCTTTCTATTTTCTATGCACCCTATCTTTATTAGTATTTTTAACACTTTGTCTCACTGAACTATAGTCTTCATCCAAGCATCCAAGACACAAAGGTCACATTAGAGTGCAAGAAGTTTGTTCACAGTGCAATAATAGCAGTAGCTCACCCAATCCCCTTCCAACAGCAATGTACATGCATTATTTTCTACTTTGTAATAATGATTTTTTTGTTCAGTTCCTTCTGCTGTTCCTTAAAGGACAAACATACCTACACATTTAAACTACTTAACTTTCATATTTTTCCACTAGCAATTTCAATCCTTCTCAAATTTTCCATCCAAAAATTTAGTGTCACACTGAAATTTTTGTACCTTGCCTCTAAGATTTTAGGAAAACTATATACTACACAACTAACAGCAATTAATTCAGCATAGTTTCATTAACAAGATAATATTTTATTCTGCCCCTAAACTTACCATATTCATCTCGACAGAGTAACATTCCAAATGTATGGCCTGGGGGAACATTCATAGTTTCTGCTATACTGTCAATAAGCACATTTGTTTGTTAATTGTCAGATAGTTTATCAGTAGCCAAAATAAACCCTTTGGTATTATTAAAAAAATAAGTGAATATCGGTTATGTATTTAGGGATGATACACATAGTTCACCTGAAATTTGTTTATAAGTACTTTGCTTCCACATTGCCATTCCAGAAAAGCATCCCTTTATAAACCTTTGCTGTTTATAACACAACCAAATAGTACCACTAACTTCTTGAACATTTATACTCATTAAAAGGAAAACACACTATGCTAAAATATTTTTTTCTAAGACAATGACAGAAATTAGAAAATTCCTTATAACATACTAGTCAAATAATAGAAATGTTTAGGACAAACCACATCTCCAACTGAAATAATGTCTCCAAATAAACTACTTCTGGCTAAAGTGGAAAAATTGAATCACACCTGACATGGCTTTTCACATGCAATTCTGTGTTTACCAAAACCAGCAACCAAGCCCATATCCACCTGGAAAACTTGGCCCTGTTTTATTTACCAGCAAATTAAGATGCTATTGGTGACATTAAAGAACTGTTTGTTTCTTTCTTAATTTGAAAAAGATGCAATGTTTATTTTTATCTCTATGTTTAATAATTAAAACTGGTACACGAATCAGAAATCTCCATGGAATTTGAAAAGAGAATCAGTGATTTGTTCTAAAATACAAAACAAACAAACAAACCCACAAAGAGATGTAGTCTAAAACACGATTTTCATATTAAATGTAAGATGTGGATGGTGTAAAATTCATTAAATAAAATTAGGTTAGCTTGTATCTGTCTTGTAATACTAGTGCTGGGTTTGAGCTTGCACTGCCAGCCATACTGTCTCATGTTGCTCATACTCCAGGTCTACCTCACAGTAGGCTCATGAAGGGCAGAGGAGAAACTCGCTCGCATTCCTGTTCACTCACTATCAGGTACCATGGCAGAGTTCTCCAGAATTACTTAAGCCTGTGATCTTGAGCTTAAACTTAAATTTTGTTCCCATGTCAATAATGTTGTCAGCTGGATCCTGACCACACTGTACCTTAAGGTCCATAAGCCTTTATAAGCGGTGTTTCGTAAAGCTAAAAAGCTGCTCCAGATGACCTGAGGTATATGAAGCATTGTAATGATTTTACTGAGATTGACACATGCTTCTAGATAATAACACAGTTTAGTTCCATGTCCTTTTCCAAGGAACTAATAAAGTGAGAATACAGGTGATGTAACAAAGATGACCAAAAGTAGCGTCAGAGTAAGTAAAACGGTCACATCGCTAAACAATAGGTGGGACATTTCAGTTCTTTCAAACATTCCTAACTGCAAAAGACAGGAAAAAAAGACTGTTACAGGGTGCTTGTAATGTGGTTGGTACAAATTTGATCAATTCAGATACAGACCATTTAAACAGTAAGACAAATTCACCACACAGACACATTGCAAACCTCATTAGTAACCTGCATACTTATCAGCCTAATTAAGGCAAGTAGAAAGTCCCTTTCTGTAACCAAGTTCTGCAGTGGAAGCACTGAGCACACACTTATAATAACAGAAAAAGACACTGGACTCTTGTCTAATGTAAGTGAATTTTGTTCTTGGGCGGTATCTTTGTTTGCTTACGGATCAAGGACTTTTCCAAGCTGAGGTTGAAATTTTTCCTTGAAATCATCACTTTGTTTTGATACAATTTTTGCTGCTCTCTTCCTACAAATTAGGAAAATAACTCTCACACATATTTGTTTAACAATATTCAACAATTTTCAGTAATATTACAAATTATTACTATAAGTTAGAAGAAAACAGTAACTCCTCTACAAGGAAAACAAAAATCTAGTACTTGATAAAACTTGGTATTTAAAACCAAAGAAGTCTTTGCGTAATGCTAAAAACATGCCAAGTGCTGTTATGCTATGGTAGAACTGATTTGGATAAACTACTCTGAAAATTACTCCTTGCATTTTCTCTTCAGTTCAGTATCGCTAGGGTGACATTGTGAGAGGTAAAATTTCTTCAAATATAAGGACTCACTCTTCTTGAGAACTCACATGACTAATTAACTGGTGAACTCATTGCAACTTACAACTGCAGATCATAGACCCAATTTAAGGACTTGGATACACTTCGCCCATCTTTGAAGTGAGGGGTTTCTATTCCATAAACAAAAGACTTGCTGAAGTTTGGTGAGTCATACTTCCTATTTATTGCTTCCCCTGTGGAAAAAGTAAGCATTTCAACCTGTATAAAACACCTCAGGAAGAAAAATATATTAAGTATCTTCCTTCTTGAGACAAAACAATGAAGAAACAAAAATAAACAACTAATTAACAATTCTGTTCAATGAAATATACCTAATTTGCATCCTACATGTTTATTAAGTAGTTAGGAATAATCTCATTGTCAAAAATGAAGATAAAAGGCTGAAGAAAAAGCAAAAACTGCTTCAGTAGTAAAATAGTTGGATATCCTTCTATGCCTGATTAAAGACAAGCCCAACAGAATTAATGAAAAAACACCAGGTAGCCTAAATAGTGAGGGTCAGGCAAACAAATCTCTTTACAATGTCCGTACCTGAGCAGAGATGTGTACCATTTAATTTACTAATTGTTAAAAAAATGCTAAGAGGAAAAAGATGTTTTTGAGGTGCTGCCCTTCCAGATATACTTTTGCTATATTGATTTTAATGGAAATTTTGCCACTGAGTTGTAGACAACACTTGACTGTAATCAAAATATTAGCCTACTTGTTCATGAATCTACTAATCCAGTCTTGCCTATAATATGAATTTTCACATACAAGAATATCACATAAGTACTCATGAGTATACACACATAAGTGAGCTGCAAGCACACGTTTCTTCTCACAGAAAAAAATGTCATTCCGTTTCTTCAAGCTCTTCTCAATCACCTTTTGAAAAGAAGGGAAACTAGAACTTTAAAAAAAATTATTCACTGCATGTCTTCTAATAAGGGCTCCTCTGGCTGTATGGCAGCATGGAATTTTTAACATTATTACAACAATATTACAATATCTGTATTGCAGTTTCTTTCTTGTTTGTACATCTACAAAACTGCTAGTGCATTGGTGCATTTTGTTACAATACTAGTCTTCCAGAGCAGCAATGTAAGTCTCTCAGCCTAAGTGGAAATGATGGAACTAGGAATAATGTAAGTGGCTGCAGAAGTAATACATGTACTGCATTTCAGAGTGCTATTTGTCACTCTGTTCCTTTGTAGACCTATGAGAAAAAGGGTAGCCACCCCTGAGCAGACCACTTCACACAAGTCCAGGCCCCAGAGGCTGAAGCAGTGGAGGCACAGCCCGCAGGAAGGGCTGAGACGGGGGCTGTGGGACAGACTCATGGGCAGGATGCTGTAGGCTAAGGAACCTGCATTCCAGCCAGCCAGTCAGCAGCCTGAGCTTGATGCTGAGCTCCCCATCAGAAAGTCTATCTGCTCTGAAATTCTGTTTGAGTGCTGATAAAAAAGACAAACCAGAGATGAAAGTACTGGAATAGGCTGGGCTCAGAGTCTGTGGCTTTAAGCCTGAGATTGCTCTCAGAGGTATGGACAATGCCAAATAAGCATCTATGGGCATCCATGAGTTTCTAGTTTCCTGGAAATACTTTGCTTTTCAAATAGCACTCAAAATAAATCAGGCTTCCAACTCCTTCATTAAGTTCTTATACTAATACACCCACCACAAACTGATTTACAGTTCTAGAAACATGTCACGCTCTCTCAGTTACATGTATTTTTTTCACATTATTACTTCTAACAAGAATTTATATTGTATTAATACAGTAGTAAAAAGTAACAGTTTATATCTCAAAAAATAGTGTGCAGTATGTGTCAAAGACACAGAAGAACAATCACCTTTATTTATATTAGAACTTTTAACATGGTTTCTTGTCAGCCTTTGAACTTACCCACATAATAATCATTGTGGGATACAACATAGAGCTCATGTCCTTCTCTGGATTCTTTATCCACTTCCTCAAAAGCTTTTGGTGGATTTATAAGTTCTCCAGTTGATACATCTGGAAAGTAAGGAATAAATAGATGGTTGGGAAAGTAAGGAGTATGGCTGTTTTGGTTCTTAATTTTAAACAATACTGTGTTACAGAAGATGCTAAAACTGTGGAAGAATGATACCTCTTAACACATTTTTAGCCAATCTATAGGAATCTTATAGCATAATGACATGGGACCAGGGTGCGGAGAAAAAAAAAAAATATCACAGAAACTGAGATGAACATAACTGTTGCAAGACAGCTACATGGTCAACACATATGAGATTTGCTCCAGTCTATAGAGGAAAGATTCACAGGTCACGGTAATTGAGAGTTAGTTGTCAGCTACCTAAACTGCTCTGTGGGGAAATATACAAAGACAGGTCTGGAACACAGCCAAAAAGCCTTACTAGTTACCAAATGTTCTCAGTTGCTTGTTTCTTCCTAAGTGAAAAATACTAGTGTGTTTTTATGCCTTTAAATAACTGCTGTGATAGCAACTTTTCTATTAAGCTAGACCTGTTGGAAGCATAGAATATGTGCTAGATTCTGAATTGTAGATTATCTTGTATTTAGAAGAAATCTGTTTTAACACTAAACTTTCCTACCTTGGATGACTTTTGTTCCAAATGTAGTATTAATTATATCCAAGCCCTTAGGTAACATAGAAGACTGATCATGTGATCTGCCCAAGGATGCTTGACAATTACTCAAGTAAATTGCTTCTTTTTTGTCTTGTATTTTTTGTTGAAAATCAGTTTTAGGAAGTGGATTTATCGAAGAAGCTGCCTAAAGACATCACAAACAACACAAGAGGCAGGAAAACCAGCAAAATTTAATCATTCACACATAAGTATGGCTACCCCCTCACACACATACAAACAAAAGTTTGATCATACCTGTTCTGAACTCTTATATGATTACACTGACATCATTTTATCTACCAAGTTGCAAAACGAAAATGTACTTTGAGAGAAGACCAATAATAATCAATGTTGTGATAAATCTCCAGCTAAATAAAATAAGCATTGTGAGGCAAAACTTTTTATGCTTTTTTTTTTAATTAGTTTATAAAATTTCAGACTATGGCCTCTGTGTTTCAACTCAAGGGTGAGAAAGAATACATAATAATCACACTGAACTATAAGCACATTCTCAGATAGCAGTTCTCTTGCTGAGAGCTCAACAGGTTTTGCCTCTGTAATCAGTAACGAAAAAAGCAGCAAAATTTGTGGGTAGAAGACTTCATTTTACTTAAATGTCAAAATGAAATTAATAATTCAGTAGTCATTGCAAAGGCTAAGTGGATGATAAGATAAACGTCACTGAACTTCAAACGTTTTCCTATTTCAATCATGCTAGTTAAACCCTATGAACTGACCTCAGAATTCAGATAAACCACAGCAGTGGTGAAATGCTGCAGTGTAAATCACTCAGCTACGTACCTCTACCCTTGCCTATGAAGAAATCAGTTGCTCTTATTAAGGACAGTCTTAAACAAACCATTCTTAAACAAAAGTAAATGAGTCACATTCTTACACTGAGTGAAGAACGTGACTCTATGCCATGTGTCAAGTGAGCTGCAATGTCAGGATCATCTGCTCTGCCATAGAATATTCTTCCAACACCAGGAGCTGGATTTGTTGTATTTCGAAACTTCTGCACAGTCGTTGGAGTAATGGGCTATGTACAAGGCAAAGCAAAACCAATTTTACAATTAGTTCAATATTAATTAAAAGAAAATGCACTGCAGACATTTCAGTGTGATTCCACAGAGGTAAGAACAAAATATAAGGACCTTTTAGGGCTGAAACAAATGCACATGCTCCTGCAGATCCTGGTATTCCGAGCATAAGGCCAACACAGTCCAGCCTAACCCCAGCAACCAAAGTAATGGAGAATTGCCAAGTTTCAGCTATCTGGTTGCATCTTTAAGATGGATAACAGCTTCTTCAAGTATTCTTCATGGAAAGTGGACGTTATATTTATTAACTTCAGAAACCTTTAACCTGACTCACAATTCCACAACGAATGAAGCAATTTCAGAAATTATTTTAATCACAGTTTTGGGGGTTTTAAATTAATTTAATTATTTCTTTTTAATTAAAGGGAGACCTGGTATTTAAGGGATCTGTTTGTGTCTCAGTACGCTGACTCTTCAGGGGCATGGGGGTAGGGCCAGTGGGAAGCACAATTCTGGGGGGCATTCTTGATAAAGAAGAAGGACCTCCGTCAGAAATAATAATAACTCCTCATAATAATCACTATAATTATATTGCCAGAGGAAAACTGCCTAAAACAACTCTATTAAGCCCCATCTAAGCAGGCATGGTGAATTTTGTAAAACAGGTGGAGTGGAAAAGAACCGCTAGAAATGTGTTACAATCCTGCCAGCTATCCTCTATGATCCCATGCGACAAAAACTAACATTAAAAAAAACCCAGTGGTTTCTAAAGAGAAAGGATGTAGAAAAAATTACCAGAGTTTCACTGATCATTTTTTTTTTTAGGGCCTGTCTCAAAGCACAGTCACTAACAAGAATGATTACAACAGGAGCGGCTCGAAAAACGACTCACCCTGGCTAACACCTCAGTGAGGCAACTCGCAGCCGTGTCGCCAGTGACAAGCAACTTTCCAGCCTAAACAACACAGTGAAAAATAAGGCATAACCAAACCCATCGCACTAATAAGCACAACTGCTCAAATTGGGATCTGACACCTTGCATGAGCTGTTGTCTAACTGTCCCCGTTTTGATAAAAGGAGCCACACGCGTTTTTGGGAAGGGGGACCACAGTGAGACGCGCCTGCTGTCTCTTCCCTCAGCCCACGGCGAGACCCCGGCCCCACTAAAGACACAGAGAGCGGGTGGGCGGCAACACTGGGACCCCTTCGGCGCAGACCCTCACCACCGACATCTCTGGAAACC